CTCTTGCTTTCAAACCAAGCTTTTCAGTAGTCGCAATACCAATAACCCATGATACAACTAGTAGTAGTAGCTAGCTAGTAGTAATTGCCGATGGCTAGCCCCTATAAAGGAACTGTAATACCTTAGGCAAAGTCTACACGACCTTACAAAATGTGAGTGTGGTTACCAAAAGCTAACCCCCAAACCGCTCTGTACCGGATTCTGTATGTAGTTTCCATGTTCATTGGTATGGCATAGGGGACAAAACGGGACCACAAAATTGGTCGGTACCTACTATGGGGTTGGGAATTTAGGATGCATGCAGGGTTCCAAAACGGTGCATACTGCCACACCCAATGGAGAACCCAGTACATGTTCCACAACAAACACCATCCAAATCCGGGAGCAATGATGTCACCAATCAACTAGGGACACATGTCATTCGGTACCTTCCAGACCTTGCTGTTTTCGCAAGACCCCATTATGCACTTCTTAGATGCACCATCTTGGGCAATAGTTTTGCCCCACATTGACATGCCAGTACTTGTTCCGGTTGTTTTGTGAGAGTGGATAGTGCCTTCACAGTGGTACATGGTGGAAGTGTCATGAAAGTAGGAAGTGGACTTCGGGCATATGGTGGTTTCTTTTTGGATGAGGTGATCTTCTTGCTGCCAGCCTTGCTTCCACCACTGTCATCCTTGACAAAGCCACAGGGCCAATGAGCCTTCAGGACTTGCCCATCACCATCCTCCTTGATCACTGTGGATGAGTGAACAGAAGAGTGAGATGATGGGCCGAAAGTCCGATGTGAACATGAGGAATGGAACTTACTTGTTTCTTTCTTCTCCTTGTTGGCCTTCCACTTGTTTTGTCGGAGGTTGCTAAAGGTGCACTGAAGGCATGCAGTGGTGTAGATCAGAAACTTGGGGTGTTTGTTCTTGACACCAGCAGCAGTAATATTCTTCTTGTTGTCCATAGCTTCAAAGATCATCTTGTGAAGTTCATCCTTGTCCAATTCCAGGGCTCCTCGTCACAGGCAGGTGTTGTCATGAGGTGCGCCCCTCTCCTTGTACTCAGCTGATATCTTGGCAAGATGTGCCAACATGTCAATGGTGAGTTGGGTGTTGTTCCCCATTGTGGGTGTAGGAGTAGATTGCTTGTGGTCAAAGATTGCTCAAAGATTGCAGTTGACTGAACTGTGAGAGGACACTTCGGTGTGGTGATTGCGGTATTGCTGTCCGGTTTACTGGAGAAGGCATCATGGTCAGGTTTTCCGGTGATTGCCATTTTGAACGTCATTGATCTGGTCTTGGTGTGATCGTTTGTGGTTTGGTGTCATCAACCGAAATGTGATCCATTGAGATCCAGTCCAGGTAATACCACGTTCCAATTCAGGTGCTTCTCCAGCGATTTTGTTAGAGAAATTCAATGCTACCTGACCAGATCTTAATTGGTATCGGATTGCTATAAACCTGACCCGAATATAATATACCGGATTGCCATGCAATTGGATTGCTGTTGACCTGATTGCGAATGATAGGAATTGGATTGCGAGCCAATCAAAGCGTGCCAATCCGGTGTCAACTTTTACCTGGTAGCAGCCAATCTGCTGCCACCAATGGACCATGCTGTTTACCACACTGCAACAAGTTGATGGCTGAAGAATCTAGGTAAGTGGGAAACTAGTTTGCTGAGTGGTGGCTGGCCAGTGATACATCAGTTCCTAGTGCAGTTCTGGTCAGTCAATTGTTTCGTGCTTATAATAGCTAGCTAGTGAGTGCTTCGCGATATCGCGACACAAGCAAACACAGGAACCGAATCAAATCTAGCTAGCAGCAGATTGCCATATCTCACTTTCAGTCAACTAGCCATGAGGTCAGTTTTGATCCAACCTTGACAATCAACCTGGACAACAATCAACCTCGATGACAATGACACTAGTTTGGGCCATGATACGCCGCAATTCCCTGTAAGCCACATTTCCCGGTAAGCCAGAGCAAAATCCACGTTCGATGGGTGATGTATTGTATGGCTGTTGCTCACCCTATCCTTCACACTGTCTTATTTCTCAGGCCTGTGACTGTCAATGACTGCTTTGGGTTTTCTTGCAACCATGTTCCAAAAATTCAAATCCAGTGGTTTGGTGGCACAATATCTGGTGGTTGTTCCTGCACTAATTTTCTGGAGTCCATTGGTGCATTGATCCACTGGCTGCACTGATGTCCACAATGGAGTTGTCAGCAAATCAGTTCGAAGAATTTGTCCGTTGGGTTGCCAGGTACAAGTTATCTCGATTAGCAAAGGTGACATTGCGTCATTTCAAAGCCCATTTTGATGCTCTGTCTGAAGTTGTTGCTGATGGATGGGAACTGCTACAGGAAAGCATCTTCCTTCAGCAGCATTTGAACAAGTGCAGGAAACATCCGGACCCGGAGCACTACCTTTGGGTGCTGATGCTATTGAAAAGGTAGGGTACCTGGGAAGTCCTTGCCTTGGCTGTCGGAACACAGGAACAAACTGCCAAGAAGTTGGTGGAAATCTATCTTGAAGTGGTTGCCAGGCTTGACAGGGATGTGGCAAGTTCCTTGTGTCCGTAGCCAGTTTCTTGTGTCCACAGCCAGTTGCTTGTTCCTCATCTTGCTTTCCGTTAACCTCATGATGTGCTCTGACTCATCCAGATTCTTTGGGCCAATCGTTTCTTTGATGACATGGGTGACAGATGTCTTGTTACCATTGATGGAACACACTTCAAGATTTGGAACAAGCTGCTTCCTGGAACCCACTCATACAACAAAGCTTGGTATGCTGCTGTTTTGATTCAGCTTGGCCATCAAATGGGATATTCTCATTATGATGTTGTTGGCTATGTTGATCCTGTTACTGATTTGGATTGGGATTGAGGCATCATGCCAACTATGGTGCCCGTGGTTCATCACTGTGGGCACCATGCATTTCTCATCCAATGAATCTTACTGAATGGTGAGATCTGTTGTNNGATTGGCTTTGAGGCAGCCATGCCAACAATGGCGCAATGGCGCCGGTGGTTGCATTTCTCATCCAATGACTCTTACTGCCTGAATGGTGAGATCTGTTGTTGTTTGTGCTGGTGATGATGCTGCCTTGCGATCTAACAGTTTGGAACCACCAGTTCCGGTTCTTGTGGAAATTATTGTGGAAAGGTCGACCATGGCGCTAGCTAGCCTGAATGGAGCGTCAACGGAGTGTGCTGGCTGGCTAGTCACTCTCATCGTGTTGGCTGGCAAGCCTGATTCTAGCCTGATTCTAGTTTGTGGATGGCAATGTTGGCTTGTTGCTGGTCCAGATAACAAACTTAAACAAGTTTTGGTTTAGGTTGATTTGCAGTAGATCACAGTAGTATATCGCTTTTCAGGCACGTCCTACCGCTACTACTGTAGTACATTCTATGATGGCCTTGTTTCAAAGCCGAACGCCGTTGGCTGTCAAAAAAAGTTTGGCCGACCAGCATCCGCATGATGGGTTTTGACCGTGCCGGGCATGGGATTCTGACATCCGGACACGCGCCTCGAGTCGAGACACGGCAGAGATTCACTAAAGCCTTGAGTACCGTATCAGACCAGCGTATGAGAAGAATGCATTTTGATTGGCCAGAAAGAAGAATCAGGCACGTTTGAGCGTGGCAGAGTGTGACATGACCACAATGGGAACACGTTCGTTCAAAAAAAGTCATTGACAAAAAATTGAAGCCGAAGAAACATCATCGCAAGGCAAAACCACTGTGCTCGACACGACCATCCTTTCTTGATCACAACAACACAAGTAAGTCAACTCAGACACAACAACAGAAGAACAACCACAAAACCACAACCACTACTAGCTCTAGCTAGAAGCGTCAACACTGTTAAAAGTTGACCATGGGCATCGTAGTGCATCCTCCTCCCTCTGACTATCACTCTGACGCTCCCATGCCCAGTAGTGGTGTCCATGTAGTTTCTAGTAGAAGTGTAGGCAGCGTGGAAAGTGATATTTGTAGTGATAGTAGTTGCACCGCGTGCCGTCTGTGCGACGATGTGTGTGGCAACAGCGGCTGCTTGTGCTGCGAGAAAAAGTCTGCCATGAAGAAGTGTAAAGAGCTAATGTGCGACTGCAAGAATGGGGAAGCTAGGTACACTATGTGTCAAATCAGGAGACATGCCACTGAAGAATCTGCCTGGCTGGTAGCAGGTGGTTATGTCTACGATGTTACTGATTACATTGCCTGTCATCCTGGTGGCAAGAACTCCATCCTCAAGAAATGTGGAGGAGTTGCGGATTGTATGCAAGACTTGCAATTCCATTCCAACAAGGGGAAAAAATTATGGAGAAAATACAGAATTGGAAGGGTACTCAATTGTGGAGAACAAGAGGATAAGCTATGGTGGATGTTCTGGAAATAATCAAGTTATGATCCAAACATCACATCCACCTCCAAACAACACAATTTTGACATTCATAATACTATAGAAATAATAGAACAAAACACCCACTAATAACTTGACAAGGTTAATGCAAGCAAACTACAACCCGGCTCTACTACAACTACTAGCTAGCTATATTTAAAAATAGTCTACTTACTACCCATAGACTTGGTCTTTTTCGGACCGAGTTATATCAGGCATAAACCTGGCCACGGCGTTTGTTTCTGCCCTCTGCAATGTTCGACCTTTTCGGCCAAGATCTGGCCATCCGATACAACAACCAACAACGAAATGCAACTATACATAAGCAATGTCATCAATCCAATTCGGCACAGCAATGATATGATTTCTGTCTTGACATGGTCTTCTCATCAGAAGACTCTCCGACTAAACTTCTCGATACAGTATCGTCGTGAATCTCAATTTCCACGATGGCAAACCACGGTCTAAGACGATGCCACGAGCAGGGTCCACGAGCTACAGATGCACAAGTAAGTGGTACGGTACCACCGTACTTTCAAACATGTCCTCATTCTTAATCATGCAATACAAAAGTGGATACCGTACGTCTTTAGAAGCGCTACTTTACCTTTTAACTACTTGTTTCGTTCGTCGTTGACGACGCCAACTCGTATTTGAATAGCAACGATTGCAGCAATAGGGAAAGACACACTCAACTCTCGCTTCACCAGTTCCGCCACAGTCGGACCACACATCCTCCAATTTACTAGATGCAGACTCTTGAGAACGAAGCTCGCAAATGCGCTCGGGCATGCTCCCGGTCAACAGGTTGTTGTGCATCAACAAACTATGCAAAACAGACAAAATTCCTGGTTGCACGTCGGGAATAATTCCGCTCAAAAAGTTGCCGTCTATCCAAAGGTTCTCCAGCAATGGTGCAGTAAAAAAGTTCGTGGGAAGGGGACCAATGAAGGAATTGTTGGATAAGATGACATGCTTCAGCGAGGGAATGCCAAACAAGGATTCAGGGACATTGCCCGCCAAAAAGTTGCGGGAGACGTCCAAACGCTCCAGTTGCACGAAATCCGCAAAAATGCTCGCTGGCAGAGTTTCGTTCGTGTAGTTGGTGTTCAAGACCATGTTGACCAGACTTGTCAGTTGCGAAAACGATCCTGGAATTGGGCCAGTGAGTGAGTTCTCACTCAACCAAACATCTGTCAAGGATACCAGATTCCCAATGGCAGTCGATATTGTGCCGGAGAGATAGTTGCTGTCAAGTTGTAGTACTTGAAGCTTTGTGATTCGATACAATTCCTCGGGGATGCGACCTTCGAGGATATTTGTATTCAACCGCAGCCGGTGCAGATCCGTCAGTAAGCCCAGACGGCTTGGAATGACACCCACAAAATTGCCAGCTGCCAGATCCAGCGATGTCAATTTGGAAAAAACCTCTGCCAGGGTAGGTGGAATAGTGCCAGCGAACATGCTGTTGGACAAGTTTAGACTCAACAACTCGCTTCCAAAACGGTTGTCATTGTCGTCCAGAACATCGGGAAGTAACCAGTCTTCCAACGACCCGTAGATGCTCGTATTGGACACGACCAGTTCCTTTAGAGACGAAAGCAGCTGAATTTCTCGAGGAATCTGGCC